ATGGTGATCAATGTTGCATTGTAATCGAAGTTGATCAGTTTAGTTGGTAGAATGAACATGAAACGGGTGCATAATGGATTTTGTTCGTTATGAAATATACGTATCATGAAACGGGTGCATAGTATATTTTATTGTATATGAAATTAATCTGCATGTAAAAATTTCAATGTGAAAAGGTTTGATTGCAAAATAGTTAATGAAATAGGTTCATGATGGTAAAACATTTTTATTTTCTAAATGATTCGTGATTCATGAACTAGTTTCATAGTAATCAATGTTGCATTGTAATCAAAGTTGATCAGTTTAGTTGGCAGAATGAACATGAAATGGGTGCATAATGGATTTTGTTCGTTATGAAATATACGTATCATGAAACGGGTGCATAATATATTTTATTGTATATGAAATTAATCTGCATGTAAAAATTTCACTGTGAAAAGGTTTCATTGCAAAATAGGTAATGAAATAGATTCATGATGGTGAAACATTTTGCATTTTCTAATTGATTCGTGATTAATGAACTAGTTTCATTGGGATCCATGTTGCATTGTATCTGAAGTTGATCTGTTTAGTTGTTAGAATGATCATGAAACGGGTGCATAATGGATTTTGTTCTTTATGAAATATACGTATCATGAAATGGGTGCATAATGAATTTTGTTCTTTATGAAATATACGTATCATGAAACGGGTGCATAATGGATTTTGTTCTTCATGAAATATACGTATCATGAAACGGGTGCATAGTATATGTTATTGTACATGAAATTAATGTGCATGAAAATGTGTCAATGTGAAAAGGTTTCATTATAAAATAGGTAATAAACAAGGTTCATGTTGGTGAAACATTTTCATTTTCAATGTAAAAAAGTGCATAATGTATTTTGTTATTTATGAAGCTAAAAGTAGATGAGACGGATTCGTTATGATTATTTAAAAGATTGTGAGAAGATTGTAATCTGCCCATGAATCTTGAAGATTGTGAGGATTAGGTGAACGTATGAATCGAATTGTAAGTGAAATTATCGATACAAGGTTAATGAAGCAAGTTCATACAAGTGAAACCGTTTCATATGAAATGGCATTCATTGTAAAATAATTTCATGTTGAATTATCGAAAAATGAATATAGTTCATTATCAAATGAGGCCAATCAAACTAGTTATTGTGTAATAAAAAAATTTAATAAGATCAGTATACAATGAAAATTTCATTATCTAAAATATACAATATGTTAGTATACTGAAGTAAAACGTATAAAGTTTCATAAAACAATAGAATAGCATAGTCAGCCTCATATGAACAGGGTGCATAGTATTGTTAAACATGCTGCACTCTATATTTTATATTTATATCAATATACAACTGCATGATTGTATGAAACATCCATTAACTAGTACAAAATAATATATTTATTTCGCCTGTACCTAGGACAGGCGGATTAACAATGTTCTTCCCAATTTTATTCGTCTTGCCAGTTGCATCTTCTGTTTTGGAAGGGCTCGATGAAGAATTGTTTATCGTAATCTTCAGTTTCTTGATCTTACCAACTTCTGGGTCCTGTACAACATCAACATCTGAATGTATACAATAAATTAGTGTATGTGACTTCAAAACACATATGTTGTGCGCCTACATTGAGACAAACAATGCATAACGAACTGGTAAAATACTTGTGTTTTAATGGCATCAACCAAAAACGATTGAAATTAGGAGAAATAAGGCCTGAATCTGCAATCCCCATGAAACAGCAGAAACAGTTGTTGATCAAATAGTCTAATTATCCCAGATTCAACCAAAAAGGATTGAAATAAGGATAAACAGATTCAGATCAGATTCTAGAAGGTACTGATCAAATATTCTAATTTTCCTGAGTAGTGTTTCATAATGTATACCAATGAGATTCATACCATTTACAGTTAATGAACATCATTAAACTTTATTAATCAATTTCATTGACATGGACAAGAAGACTGGAATAAGCAATTGAACAATTGTATAATATTTCATTAACACAGTGAAACTGTTTCATTTACATGCAAAATACACTTTCTATATTAAAAACATTTTG